GGCCTAGCGTCCAATTTCAGTGGCGAAATAGTGAGCGAATAGCCCCACAGCTTTAGGTACCGAGTATTTCAGAGCCATATAGCGCCATAGGTTCCTCGAGTTTGGGTGTTCTAGTCGCTGCACTCAGTAGGCTATTGCCCTCCCCGCCGTCTCCACGGCAGTCTTAATCGTGGTACTGATTGCTCGTTAAATAGTGGGGGCCTTCGTGTATGGATCCAACAAGTCCGCCTTCGTAGAGGAGCGCGGTCGCTGCATGCGTTCCGGGCTGCGAGGGCCTTGCGGTGTGCAGCAATGAGCCCAAATGGGGATACACAGTGTCCCATACACCAAAAGAGCCATACCCGCCCCTTTTGCCATGCGGTGAGTTTTGGTGACAAACTAGGCCCCTGACCCGTCACTGGCAGCTGTCAAACAAATGAAGTCTGTCACGACCTTTCGTTGTTCCAACATATCCCACATCAATGTCCTTTACTGATGGTCTTAATCAATTTCCAGCGAACCCTGTCCAATCCACTATTTTTGTATGCTAAGCAAAGGGGCTTTCGAAGGCCATATCTTATTCGCTTCACGGATTTCGACATGTCAAAGATTAGGTGTATCACGAGCTTGTAAAAATATCTGACAAAACATTTTATTTGCACCAGAACGCGGAGTCAAAGAGGTTTCATTTATCATTGCCCACCCCAAAGTACAGTTCCATAACGGTGAGGTTCCTGAGTTGTCAAGCCACCATTCTATACAATCGAGAAAGGAGCGGAGTTATTGATCGTCCTGAACGATTCTTTGGTTGGCACATCCTCCTGCCAGTAATTGCAAATGTTCATTATTTTGTTGCTATGGAAACCAGCACTCCCGAACCTTTTGCCCCTCGCACTTTCCTCCCTTGTCGGTAATTTCTTGGAGGTCCTCTTGTTGGCATCGCTGAGGCAAACTTGGGATGGACAATGGGCGAGGTGCCATAGCTGATTTTGTATGTCAATGCCGCGGTGGTTGCCGACTTCGAACTTGAAGGCGGACCCTGGGACAACGCCTCGCTTCCACAGCGCTCAGCGAATGTGATGTTTTAAACAGATCTGCAGCGAAGCCGATCAGTGCATACCTTGTCGCCAAGGTTTTTTTTTTTTTGGTATTTGCAACAATTTCCGTGTCCTTGGGCTTTGGGTTGAAGACTTCAGTAAGGTGGCAGTTTTGATGCAACAACCTCCCGCAAACCTGAGCAGTATCGCAGTGAATTGTTGCATTTCTTAGACTGATCCGTGTTGTTTTGTGAGCAAATACGCAGTTCAGAGATCAAGCTCTGAGTAGGCGTACTTGCGACTCTGGGACACAATCTGAATCAGACAGAAAGCATACTCCCAGCTTCCTTACAAAATTTTGGATTCGAGCGGGCGTGTCACTGGGATCGCTATGCCTGACATTGGTGCTGCTAACATGTTGCGAGCAGATTGTGTGTCTTACAAAGTGTGGGCTCAGTCGACAAGTCACACTCACCCAGATTCAACATCCAGTCTGATTCTTGGATGAGTTCAATTCTAGGAACAAAACACATGGGGAACGTAGTACTTGAATGCACTGCATTAGTGGTGCATCAAGCAGGATCGAATCCAGCCCTGCAGTCACAGATGCGTCCTATATGTGTTAAATCCCAAATCCGCCTGTGGCAACAAAATATTTCGCCCCTAACTTCTGGTTCGCTGTGACCACCTTACAGGACTGGTGCACCATTTCCATCTAGCAAGGTTCGATTGTGCACAGCTTGTCAAGCTTGCTGTCAACCAGCAGATCACATTCTACTTTGCTGCTTCCGGCAATGGGAATTCGCCGAAATGAGAGCCCAGTCAATTCACATGAGACTGCACGGCGTTGTTATGTGCTAAGATCCACAGTGTGCCCTTTCAAGCGTGAATGTTGATCCCGCGGCCTTGCCCATCTGCAACAGGGGCCCACTGAGCACTGCTGCTCCCCCTTGGGATACATCCAAACAACCAGGTGCCAACGTCCAACATTAGTGGAAGCAGAAGTGGGAAGTGTGACTCCGGTGTCGGAAATGAGCAGAAAGCAAAAATGCTGACATTGTGGGGACACAACAGGCAAGCCACCAGCCAGCAACACGCACTTTGGAACACTGTCGCGCTGCCAGCGCAGTACCTAACACTGGCCCTTCGAATTAGTGGCTGTCCCACAGATGCAAATCACAATGCAACAGACAGTTGAATCTAAATTAGGATTTGGGGAAGATGGAGGCTTGCTAAAGCGCACCGTCTGCAGAATATGTTGTGCAGCATTCAACAGGATTACACCACGCCACTACAAGCGCTGTTCGCTACTCTTAGTTTGCGCGTTGGCGGGGTCCAAACATCAGCTGCAAGATGAACAGCCATTGGGAGCAACTGAACATCACTGCTGCAGCCACCACAACGTAGTGCAAGCTCTCCGTCTGACTTTGCAATGACGCAGAAAAAAACACAAACTGCTGAATTAGCAATTGAAACCGTCCATTGACTGGTGTGGCGTCCAGTGCTCAGTGCTTACCCAGTCAATTGCACATCAAAACTCGGTGTTCTGCCCATTCTCATTACACATGATGTGACGCTACACAAACAACAAGAAACAGTTGCTGCAAGACATGCTGAATAATGACAGCTCATGCATCGCCCCGATCCTAAGCTTGAACATGAAATCCACCAATAGATTTGTGCTCATCTGGCAATCAATGGTGTTGGAATTAAATCAGAATACAAACAATCCCGCAAAACAGTCGTCAGGCTTGTGCACTTCACCGATCTCAGCCTGCACAAGGAAACAGGCCAAAGACTAATTCCATTGCCAATTGTGCACGGAAGCGGACGTTCCAGCTGTACCACATCACCTCCGTGCAGTCGACATTCGCCAGTACAGGAGATACATCGTCAACAGGGTGAATGCCATCCCTGTCAGCAGCACCAAATTGTTGCGTGTGATGGCTCCTCTCTTGCGACGCCGACGTCCTCTGCTGTCTTCCCCAGTTGACTGCCTAAAACAACAAGTGGCCAGACACACTCATGATTTGATCTTCAACTCTGGATGCAAGGATACTGAACTTAGCCCTTTGCTCACTTCAACATCAAGACATAATCTCTTGGCTTGTGCAAAGGTGAAGCGCAACACAAGACCACAAACAGGTACTGCTGTCTTTGGATGGCCCCCATTTGCTCATGGCGAGCTCATAACAGAGGGCTGATGCAGTAATGAGCTGTGCACAGTGTGCACTACTATAAAAACATGTCTTGCATATCAACTTTCAAAGTAAAAGGCGCATTTACATATGTGCATCCCTCCCAGGCCCCACAAATAGGAAGCCAAACCCACACAGCCAATTCCCCATATCAACTGCCCTGAAATTTTCAACATCCAGGTGACGTTTTCACTATTACCTTGTGGTCAATGGCAGCGAAGGAACAAATGCATCAGGAAATATTCTCTGAGCGAATCGTTTCAATACATTGGATCGCTTCAGGTATTTCTGCTCGTCGTCCACGCCAGATGGTGCGCTGTCAACATTCCCATCCAAAAGTGCATGATTTCGCCCACTGTCTCCAGCCTGCCAAATGCCGATGAACTAAATCAACAGCACTCTACAAAGTGCAGCATGGCATCAATGTACAGCCTCAGTCAGCAAGTCCTGCAGCTTAGCAACTGGAAATTCTCAAACGAGTCATGCTGCAGCACAAGTTCTGGAAAGAAACCATCTTGGGCAGCTGTCACACAGTAAGTGGTTGCCAGGAGCGCTTCGTCATCTGCACACTGCAGGTGATGATGTGGCTGTACTTGCGGTTGCTGTTTAAAGTCTGGCTTCAACTACACAATGTCCAGAAAGGACACATCAACGTTGTGGAACCGATGTATAAGATGGTATGCATAAGGACGACTCAATATATGGTGAACAAGGTGAACATGGTCAAAATTATGGTGCAGTGAACCAAATGCAGTGAATTGATTTGAGCACATTCGAGCAATGTGTAATCCATTTATACTTAACAGCAAGCCTCCTGTACACCTTTTTAATGGGAAGCACAAGTCACTAATGAGGAGCCAGTGCAAACAGTGTGCAGTGGGTGGTGGCTGCCCGAAGTGAAATGGGCACATGTTTACCCCATGCCACCATAATGTAGCACAATCAGGTGCCCTGCAACTGACCATTCTGCCAATTTCGCATTTATGTCTGCCGATGAAGCAAGTGGACTATTGCCACACCTCACTGCCAGGTGGTTGCAAGTACTTCACAAGGGTAGTTCAGGGTGGAGAATGCTGGAGGATGGAAAAGGGGAGGCAGGAAGGGGGGATGCAATCGGTTAGGCCAGGATGGCCTGCGTACAAGTGAACCTGTACGAGTGCAATCTGACCAGTACAAAATGTGATGTGTGACAACATCCAGTTGTGATAACATGCTCAGCAAAGCAAACCTTGTTTTGGTATGGTTCTTTCTGCAACCATTCATTCATTCAGTGTATTGTGGATAACAACAACAGCCAAAGAGAATGCATGACCACAAACTAACCATATGGTCTGCAACACAACTGACAAAGCAGAATGACACTTGCTTCAGGAGCAGCATCTTAGTTCTTCGACACACTTCCCCATTGCACTGATAGACAGGTCTGCACCACCCAAGTATTTGGCATGGAACATTAGCAACAGAGAAATTGCCAAAATACACCTTACGTTGGTGCAGGCCAGAAGACCAAACATGTCTAATGTGCCACACAACACTCTTGTCATGGCATCACCATGCCCACTGGTTTTACACACGATCCACTGCAGCAGCACCCCACCTGTATGAACCTGAGCACCACGTCAGATTACAACCCACAACTAACAGTACTTCAGGTGCTCAGTTTCATGCCCCAGTTCTCAGGTGCTGTGAGTTCATTGCGATCCATTCGCTTGCCAATCTAAGCCGCACTGCAGACTCTGTCCTCTTAGAAAACAGTCTGTCAACATTGTGGTACAATTCTGGACTATCAAATCCATATTGAACTTTCAAACACCTGCCAGCAGTGGAATAACATGGTTGTGTGCACCATGTTCTTTCCAAACAATACTAGGATGTGCAAACATACCTGGGCCCTGTGCACAGTGACGGGCTGTTGTGCACCAGCTGAAGCAGCATACTGGAATTCTGATGTTGACGTCTCTCCTTCTGAACAGCAGCAATCACAGATCAGAACTCCTGCACAGGATCTCTCAGTGGATGGAAAATTAGCATAGTAAACAAGGATCAATTCCGTGGCTATTCCCTAGCCTTACGGGTCCCACACCTCTGAGGGCAGCTTCTGTGGCCAGGGGCGATGTAGAGTTCATTCCATTTGTGGGTGATGCCAAGCCCTGTGGTGGAAATTCAGGTTCAGATTACAACAGCAACAGGAGCATCTTAAACTGCTCTTCACGAACTCGACTTCCCAGTCAACTTCGATCCACATCAGCTTGCACTGATGCCTCCAGGACAGAGAACATCTCCATCTTTGCTGGCTTCCAACACACTGTGGTACCTTGGAACTAAGACTGCCAAAAGCGCACACCACATGTTCCCTTCCCTTGCAACAGTAAGATACTCCTATATGCTTACCTCCTCCACAAAGAGATCATCGATGTCCTCCAGTCCATCCAGACTTGCAATCTTCTCACCACTCTGCGGAAGCAAAACGGTGCCATTAAGCATCAACAACATTGCTGCAACATTGGCCACACTGAGTTGTGGAGCAGCAATGTGAAGTGCACATCAAACTTTGCAGAGCATGACGGCATTTACAGGAATCCACAAGTTCACATGTGGCCAGGCAGCTCACCGATGCCAGATATATGGCTTTGATATTGTTCAATTTGAGCTTCAACTTCACCTGCAACAACAATACTATTCAGTCCTTAAGCTTTCTGCGGCAACAGCCCCAGCACTGACAAAGACCTCAACTTGTAGGTGCCAATTCATACTTGAAATAGCCAAAAAAAACTTGACTCTGCAAGCATTTGTCTCCTGTCCCTGAGCAAATGTATACACAACGACAGTAAAGTCCGTATTCACCCCACCAGTGCAAAGTTCACATCACAAATGACAACCATCTGGAATGTTGCTGGAGTGTGCGCTCTCACAGACTACTGGACACATTTGTCTCCATTGTGCAATCTTCTTAAAATATGTTCCTGACAACCTCATTCCTGAATCGCACACTTCCCTTGAAGTGCAAGCTTGGAAACTGTGTCTTCTGCCTGACAAGGTGAAGCTCATATTGCTTGTTTGCAAAGGCAGGCATTTGACATGGCATGGCAGGATGGGCCAAACTGCCGGTTGTTCATTGCACAAAGTGAACTTTCGTTGATGCAGGCCATCAGGATCCCCACACCGATAAGATCAGATTCTCGCCACAGATGGCCATCAGGGAACCAGATCATCAGCGATCGTGTCATTCCCCAGCACAACGCTTTTTCTGATGCGAAATGAGTCTGTGTCCCCAATCCACATCGTCTCAACAATTCGATGTCTTAGCTGCCAATTTCTTTCGCCCTAGCACTTGGGTGTAAGCTGGCGTTCAACTCAGCAACTTTCTCCAACAGTAGGGTGATGCTTGGAAGCAGACGGCCAAAAGTGCCCAAAAGTTGTGCACTCGCCCTCAAGATCGGGGCTGTGGGCAGACAGGCACATGGCAGTGTTCCACTTCATGAAAAGCTCTCAGTAATCAGGCATCATACCTGATCACAGAACTGTGCCCATGTGTAGCCATCTGGCACTGGCACAGCAGCCTTCCTGCAAAGCCCAAACACCACAGGCCTCAGCTCCCAACAAGACGATTGCCTGGGATACAGTTACCACGCTGCAAGCCAGGTGGGAAATTGTTCCTACAGGGCGTCATCAGAGTGCCGCTCGACCACACGACGCAGTTGAGCCGCAATCCTGACGTTCCCACAACCGGTGGGACGGGTGCTTGACGTCCTACCTCCTCTGCTGCGAGCCCTTCACAGACACGAACACCAGGCGCGAGGCTTCCTGCAGCAGCCAATGCGCTCCTGTCAACAGACACCAGGACTCCAGCCGCCACATTGTGCGCGCGATGTTCGAAACAAGCAGGCGCGGGACAGCCCAGACCCGTACCATGTCCGAAGCAGTGAGACCGTATCCGCGCGGCTCCGCCCCGGGCACCATAGCCGCTTCAAAAAGCGACGTTCTCTGGCGGGGTCTGAGCGGCTCTCACTGTCATGCACGTGGGAAAAGGCCTCGCCCCGTCCTTTGAGCGACGTTGCGCGGCCTCGGGGAGAGACACTCGTCCACGTGCACAGGAGCGGCACCGTTCCCAGACCACAGCGGCCGCAGCAATCAGCGTCTGTACTTGGTGTTCCTGTTCCTATCATTTGCTCACTTCAAACCTGACTGAGTTTGTGCGAAAGCGTTCCTAGTTAGTTGCAGCATAGCCCGTTACTTGCAAGTGACAATTGTGCAAGGGTAGGGCCATTATTCCCAGCCACTGGGTTTCTGTCACCCCAGCGCCAGTTTCTGTCCTTGGGACTGTGCCGCCAAAGTTCGAACCCTGGCCCTGGCCCCAAGATCCGCAGGCAGCCACCTGCAGGTTGCCAAAGCGGCCTTCTCCTCGCGCAGAGGAGACGAGGAAGGGGAGTCGCGCAAGCGGCGGAGGCTGGCGGCATGCAGAGCGGGACGAGGATCCCAAAGCCCTCCGGAGGGGGAAGGGCGCCGGCGGGCGCAGAGGGCAGACAGGTCCGCCGCGCCCACATCCTGTGCGCAGCAGGGGCACAGCGGAGTCCGCTGTGGCGCAGAGGCCCCTTGTGCGCCGTCTGGGGATCGCCATTGACCCGTGTTTCGCCCGCTGTCGGTGGGGCGCACACTCCGCGCATCCGCAGGGCCTGTAACCGCGGTTGGAGAAATTTTGGCCCGCGGGCCGGGCGCTGCCTGCACGCCATCGGTGGGCGCCTTGAGCCATTCCGGACCTGGAAACGATCTTCAGGCCTCGAAATCGCATCCATTCCTGCACGTTCTGGCGCGGTTGCCCCCGACACCGTGACGTGCAGATGCCGGATGTCCCGCGCTCGCCAGTCGCAATCGCAGCATTGCAGTGTTGCTCCCCGCCATTCATGGTTTCAGTTCGCGCAGAGAAGCACTGAGCGGCGGCGGTGCTGAAGCTCTCGCGGCTATCGCTCAGGCTGGACGCGATCGGACGAACGAATGGAACAACGGCCGCAAGATGGAACAGCCGGCGCTGGCCGACGCTGAGGGTGGCGCCCTGAAGGCACGGCAGACTCGAGCGCAGTCGCGCCTCCAGAAGCCCTCACTCCCAGAGGCGGTCCTGCGGGGCTCCAGGAAGCGCAAGGACGTGGGCGATGGCTGTCCAGGACCGCAGGCCAAGAGGCAGCCCTCGGCACAGAAGAGCGCACCACCGCCACCGGCCGAAGAGACCTTCGAGGAGCTGCATGAGAGGACCGGCAAGTCGGAGCTGGACATACTGAGCGAGAAGCTCAAGTTCAACAAGGGCGCCAGCGCGCCCAAGAAAATGGAGCTGATGAAGAACTGCATCAAGGACCTGCGGACGGTGGGGCACTCTCTATTGGAGAGGAAGGACAAGTTCGAGGCGGAGGCGTCGTACCAGGCGGCGCATGTGGAGGAGCTGCGCGCCGTCTGGGAGGGAGAGGAGGCGATGCGCGACAAGAGGATAGAGGGCCTCGAGGAGGAGCTGCAGGGCGCCAAGGCGAGCCTGTCTGACACGAAAGACTGCTTGTCTCGCGTCCAGGATGAGCTGAGGGACCTGCACCAGACATCTGGGCAGCAGATATCTTCTCTCGACGAGGCCCTGCGCACCTCCAAACACGAGCTCGCCTTCTGTGAGAAAAGCTTGAGCGAAAGGACTGCCAAGGTACGCCCCGCAGTGCACCTGGCGGCAGGCCAATTCACCCTGGTGCCTGCTTCTGACAGGACTTGTGTCACTGTGCCAAGGTGGAGGAGCTGGAAGAGAGCAGCAGGACGGCGCAGAATTACAGCACATCTCTGCAGAACTACAACCAAGGCCTTCAGCGCCAACTGAGCGAGCAGAAGGAAGCCTGTCAGGCTCTGGTGGTGCGTAGGTCACCTGCTGCGCGCCTCGCCAGGTGCAGGCCTCCGTCCTGCGCGCCCTGTCGCCCATGAGCTTTCACCTCTCGTTTCTGCACGCTTGCAGGACGAAAATCGCGGCCTGAAGGAGCAAGTCATGTTGCTGAGCGGCTCCACAACCCAGCTGGAGCAGAAAGTCGAGGCTGTCAAGGTGCGATGGCGACAGACTGGCGCCCCACGAGATGACGAGACGCCCTTTCTCACTTGGGGGCTGTTTCCCAATGGTATGCTGGTCACAGTCTGACACAGTGCCTTGTGTTGAGCAGAGCGTGGCAGAGACAAAGGTGCAGCTGCTCCAGGGAGACAGCAGCCAGGCCAAATCGGAGTTGGCCAGGTTGTCCAAGGAGTTGCACAGCGTCACGTTGGCCAGGGACCAATGGCAGCGGGATTGCGAGAAATGGAAGGCACAGGCAGACATGTACGCCCACGCTCTCAGAAGCCATTCATCGACCTGATCTTGCCTGCGCATTGCTGCGTCCTGGTCACGCTGGAAGGCCAGTTGGCCATGTTGCCTGGGCACAATGGATCCACAAGTCTGACCTGCCCGTTGGTGAATACTCCCAGGTACCAGGAAAAGACTGGGAAGAGCCTTGAGGAGATGCAGAACATGGAAACTCGGAGGATGGCATTGGAAGGCATGTGCTCCGATCAGGTAAACACACTGCCAGCAACCAAGCGGCGTGCATTGCACACTTGTGGATGTGCATGAAGGAAGGATGCCAAAGAAAACGTTCGTCCAGGATGTTCATGGTGGCAGTAGGGGGATGCACAGGACCTATGGGGTAACACAATTTGACAGAGGCAGCTGTGTGGCGCAGGATGAGATAATGGAGAGGCTGAGGCGCGAAACAGCGATTGCTGTAGAGCAGAAGAGGCTTGCAGAAGAGTTAGCCTCAAGGAGGGGCGATGAGAATGTCGAGCTCAAGGTAATGCTGCGGTGGCAGCAGTACCATCGCTCACTCTCCATCGAGGCAAATGAGTTTTAAGAGGTTTCCTTCTGTTTCCATGGCTGTGGCCAGACTGTCCTGTAGATGTGAGGCTGTCAGATGGGCTGTTGTGCTGGGGACTTGCCAGGCTTCTGGGCGCAATCGCTTTGGTGGGGGGGTGACTCTGGGCCATGGTCTTCTCTGCAGAGGAAAGTTGAGAGCCTGGAGGCTCTGGTGGTGGAGAAAGAGACTCAGATGAAGGAGGGTGAAGAGATCCGCAAGCGACTGCACAACACCATCATGGAGCTGAAAGGCAACATCAGGGTATTTTGCAGAGTCCGACCGGTTGGAGACGGCGAGTGTGGAACAGCTCCAAAGACTGCCACGCCATTGGTGGAGTACCCCTCACAAGGTGGGTACACAGTGCTCTTCTGGCAGTGCTTTGCAAGCGGTCAGTCAGCACTTCCAAGTCTCTTGCACATGTCGTTGCTTTGTGGCATTCTACAGTTGTACCCCATGCCCCAGTGCTGACATGTGCGATTTCACCGATGTGTTGATGCAGGCGACCAGAAGGACAGGGCGATCAAGGTGCTGGCGCCCAGTGGCTCTTCTGGAACGTCATCAGACTTCCAGCCATTCGAGTTCGCGTTCGACAGAGTATTTCCAGCCCAGAGCACGCAGGAGGACGTGTTTGACGAGATATCCCAGCTTGTCCAGAGCGCCCTTGATGGGTACAAGGTGTGTGACTGCGTGCCAGGATCAGACCAGCTGAGGGCTTCCTGCTCAGCAAGGATTCCCTGATGGCTTGGATATCCTGCTCAAAGCTTAGCTGGTTGTGCACTGCCAGAAGGATAGATCAGCCACCGTCTTGGTGTGCCCACAGGTCTGCATTTTTGCATATGGCCAAACAGGCAGCGGCAAGACGTACACGATGTTGGGGAACAGTGAGAACAACGGTGTGATCCCACGAGTGATGCAGCAGGTCTTCCAGACCAGCAACGAGCTGCGAGAGCAGGGCTGGAACTTCCGCATGCGGGTAAGATGCCAAACCCATTCGAGTGCTGCACAGCCACGAACCGATCTGCAGTGCTGCTTTGGGTCATGGATGTTCATTGGTCCGTGTGAGTTGTACAGGCGAGCATATTAGAGGTCTACAACGAGGAATACAAAGACCTGCTCGGGAAGCATTTGGCAGCCAACGAGAAGCATAAAGTGCACCATGATGCTCACGGGAACACCACAGTGAGCGGCCTGACGACAGTGGACGTCAGCAAGCCCGAAAATGCAGCAGAACTCCTGAGGAGGGCAATGGAGAAACGGGCCGTCGGGGCAACCAAGATGAACGACAACTCGTCACGGAGCCACATGGTTTTCACCCTAAAGCTGGATGGCAGCAACGAGGGCACCCAACAGCACGTGCAAGGTCTGCCACAGGCTGGGTCTGGTCTATCGTGAGGAGTCCATTGGCTCCACGTTTATTGAGCAACCAACGTGCTCTGTATGCTGCGCAGGTGTCCTCAATCTCATCGACCTCGCGGGCAGCGAGCGAGTCAAGGCTTCAGGCTCGCAGGGTGACAGGCTCAAGGAGGCCCAGAACATCAACAAGAGCCTGAGCGCGTTGGGTGAGCATCGGGCAATTCCGTGTTCCATACCTCCCCCCCTTACCGTTCCCTGTGCATGCTGTTCGTCTCCAGTCTCGACTGATTTTGCTGTGTTGCTTGCAGGTGACGTGATAATGGCACTGGGGACCAAGAATGAGCACGTGCCTTACAGGAACTCCAAGCTGACATGGCTGCTGCAGAACTCGCTCAGCGGCGCCTCCAAGGTCCTAATGTTTGTCAACATCTCGCCTGCGCAGGAGTCTGCAAACGAGTCATTGTGTTCTTTGCGATTTGCCGCCAAAGTGAATGCTTGCGAAATTGGGGTGGCCAGGAGGACGGTGAAGACAGACCAAAAAGACAGCCAGCCAACGCGGTCTCCACGGTCAAGATGAGCACAACTCGCACATCTTTCTTTCCGATATGGGTTGGCGCACTGTGGGCCTTCAGGGGCTGGTTTCTGGAACAAATTGGTGCGATCTTGCGGCAATGTGGAGGAACACAAGTCGTTTTGCTCACAATATTAATGGTCGATAGAAGGCACGAACGTGGGACTATTGTTCGTCAGTGAGTGGCCGTTCACTTTGATATTAACAGTGTATCACACTCCGACATAGTGGAGTGCAAAGTGCCACGGTCGTTTGTGTGGTGCTGCCAACCCACGAATGGAACATCTGACACGCAGGGTGGCTTTGTTGGGTCTTACAGGTAAAAATGGCGCTCAGAAAAGCAAGGCAGCACAAGTACATTGCCATACAGGAGCAGCATTGGAACGATTGGCTAGTGTGAATTTGTTTGAAGGGTGATCGGCTGAATAAGCCTGACACAACGCGTTGGGTACGACATCGAACTGAAACTATATTGCGTGGTGCCTATCTGCTTCTGTGAGTAAGGAACAGTGCACGAGGTTGTGTCAACCGATCAAAGCTCGTTGCTCAAATAGGCGCAACATGGCAAGCGTTTGTCTGATTTCGTGTGCAGCAGCCAGTCCATCAGAACATGTCAGTTGTCCCTAGCGCGTACCTTGAAGACATTGCTCTCGAGCCAGCCAAACCGTTCGGTTTGCCTTGCCTTGTCTACTGCATAGCGTGGTCTACCGAGACGGTCAGGCAGCGGAAGTCGCTTCACATCACAATGCAGCAACCACCGCATTGGCATCCCCTCCAACCGGAAGGTGTTGGATGCTGCTATTTGGGCGCATATGTGCATATTTTGCCACATGGCACACACAGGACACCAGTGTGCTCCCATTGCATCTGGTGGACATTGTCCAGACATTCACAAGTTGCTCCAGCAGCACTGCCAGCGTCACCCCCACATCCACACATCCAGTGGCGAGTGTGAGGGCCACCAGTTCAATAGTGCATCGTGCCAAAAGATGTTTTAATGGACGAGACCAAGCACAAGACGACCACAACAAAATACAAATTGTTGCTTTCCCTGTGGTGCAAAATTGTGCGACAGCCTGCCAAGCCCAATGCACAGAGATGACCCTTGGATCCCTTCACACAGCTCTCTCAGCGTGGTTATGCATCGACTGTCCCTTGAAAACTGCTGATACAATCCTAGACTACATTTTCATCTTGACTTGCCCTGCATCTACTACATTGTCAACAATCCATCCTCACCTTGTGTTTTGTGTGGCTGAATCTGTAATCAATGTGTGCTTGATGCTAATTGCCCACAAGAGGCAGGCGTTTCCCCAGCAAACTCCCAAAGTCCCCTCCAAGCCATGAAAAAATCAATGTACAGGTCAAAATGTGCACCCAATATCTCTGGTAATCCCACAACTGCCAGAGGCAGCGTCAAACAATCACCATTGCCCATCGGCCACTTCCATCATGGCCCTGGCAGATTCAGCAACCCCCGTAAACTACCTTTGTACATGACTGAACGAACAAAACATCTCCACTGCACTCTGTCAATCTGCTCTATTCAAGGTTGGTGTGTCTTTCCAGCATCTCTACTTCCTGCACACCCAATTTCTTTTGTATCATGATGCACATGCACTCAAACATCATCCACAAAGTTACCTCGAATGCAGACCCCAGCTGCATGACCTTGTGCGCATTGCCATTGGGCACCTCAACTTTGGGGGCCTTGTGCCCATACGAAGGGATGGGGTGCGCGAAAGGTATTGGAATTCGCACAGCTTTGTCTGCAAATGGCAGTGGAGCCGTTTGGTGTGCTGTAAACGCTATAACCTTTGCTTGCGCACGAATCGCAGCAAGGCATATAGCATTGACCTGCGCAGCACAATGCCAGGCAAAGCTCAACAGCCAACATATTCGACAGTGAAATTGGACACCCAAGGACTCTCACCAAGGGCAACCATCGTGGCAACGTGTATGAAAATGCCCCTGTCTTTGATGCAGAAGTAGCAGCAGCAGAACACAAACATGCACGTCATATCATATAAACACTTGAACAACACCACAACACCCAAGCCCCAAGTCCAGAGTCGATGGAACTACCAGCACTGTTAGCACGGAGTGCTGGGCTGGTGTTGAAATTAGCTGGGCTTGCTCGATGGCCTTGATACAGTTCATGCGAATTCCCATTTCGCAAACTGCAGGCACTGCTTTTCAGGGCTTGACACTCACAGTGTTGTAGTAGCTGGGGCCAGCGCTCGCCATCACGAGATCCCCTTTGCCCACAGCAGGGGTCCTGGCTTCACCAACCATGCAGGCGTCGACCCCCATGTGGCACAACCTCATCGCCAGGGCCTTCATTACAAGACGCTCTCGGCCCACACCGTAACAGCACACTTTCCTTGCGCTGCACACTTCCTTGACAAGCTGCGTAACCTCGTCGCCATCAATCGCCGCCATCGCCGTGGCCACCTCCCTGATGGCAGCCTGGGACATCTTGTGGTAGTCGTCCCACGACTCCTTTCATCACCACAAACAGGAATCCATGTGGGTCAGCGAGTCCAGCCAGCATGCAAGGGCACGGTGGGTTGGTTGAAAGCGACTCTTGCGCGCCTCCCTCACCTCGTCAGCCCCTTCCTCTCTTGGCCTCTTTTGTCCGGAGACGGGCATCTCATTCACCCCCCCTTCGCGGTCGGGACCAGCGGCCCAGGATGCGTTCCTGCGACCAGAATCCGGCGCCTTGGCGGCCTGCGCAACACGATGACCACCGTCACCCGAAGCGACCAACAAGCGACCTTTGACACAAGCATCCGCTTACACAACAGGCAGCACAGCACCCTGCACTTGCCAGGAAGCAAGCATTCCAATCAGCTGCACTTGCATGACCCTCACGAACCCAGGCAATCGTGTTTCACCTTGCTTGCTGGGCCCGACAGGCGGTCCTTCGACCGCGCCAGGCGATTCTTCAGCCACACGGAGACTTGCGCTTCCTTGGCCTCCCCCGCGCCCTTGACTGCGGCGTACAATTCCGGCGTGGGCCGCTTGTAACCTGCGTCCATCCCAGCAGGCGAGCATGGTTAATTCTCGCCATCAAAACACGTGCGCCAGCGCGGCACTTTACGCTCGTCGACCGACGCGCAAACCGCGGCGCCCCCCACGCACCCGAGTTGAAATGTCTCTCCAGCAGGCACAGCTGCGCGGGGTTGGGCTTCCACCGTGTGGGCTTGGGCATCCGGTGCATCTGCGGCTGCTGCACCGCGTGGTGCTGCAGAAGGTGGCTGGGCTCCAGGCCCCCCGGCACCTCCTCCCCCGCCACGCCCGCCACCAGGCTGCTCAATGGCCGCAGGTCGGGCACAGTCACGCCGCGCGCCGGCACGCTCCCCACCCTGTTCTCCACCTTGACGGGCAGCGCGAAGCCCTTGTTAGGCAGCGCCTGCAGGTCCTGCACCAGCAGGTGCACCTGGCCGGCGCCATCCGGCCCGCACAGCCTGGCGGCGGGGGGCTGCGCCACGGCCTCTGGCATTCCGCGGTCCACCAGCGGCCCCGTGAACAGCACCGACGGGTCGCTGATGGCGGCGCCGGGGGGCTGCAGACCCGCGGCGGCCAGCACGCCGGGGTCCATCGCCATGCTCTGCGCCAAGGCCAGGTCCGGGATCCCCGGCCCCACGCCGGCCGAGCCCCGGGGCGCATTCTGGACCGTGAGCTGCAGGGGGGCGAAGTCCAGGGCGCCGGGAGGATGCGCCAAGCCGCAGGAGTGGCCCATCTGCGCCCGGGCGGCGCTGGCGGGCAGGCCGTTACCCGAGTCCAGGTACAACTGGGGCACGCTGTTGCCGCGCACGGGCGGCCCGTTCTCTATCTGGAACGTGGGCAGGCCCAGCACCTTGGCATTGGCGCCGTGGTCCATCCCGCTACCGGCCTCCCTGCTCAGGATGGTGGTCAGCCAGGTGCTGACGCTGGACGGGCCGTGGCACGCGTTCGGCGCCACGGAGCCGGCCCCCGGGGACCCGCCCTCCAGGTCCGGCCCCGCGGGCGTCAGGTTGGCGGCATCCATGACCTCCACCTGGTTGCTCATGCTCGCCCCCCGCCTGGCACCCCGCCACCGCCGGCGGCCTCCTCAGCCACGGGCGTCAGTCCTGCAGCCAGGCAACAGCCCGCCCGCATCATCGCGCCATCTACCCAAGCAGTCCAATTGTTAAGCGCAACACCCTCCACCGCCCGCGCCGGAGCGCGTCCAAGGCCATCGAATCCTCCGATGCGGCTTCAGACGCCCAGTCCCGGTCCCAGGGCAGCTTTTTCTTACTATTCCACGCAACCAGGGGAGGGCGCCGTCCGCGTCCGCCCCAGTGCCCAGCACCTCCAACAAGTGGCGGCCCTGGACCGGACGGCACCACGGCGCCCTGACCGGCACCGTGTTCCCCATTCGCCGCCTTCCCCCCAATGGGCCCCGGCGCGCAAACGCCAAATCGCAAGTACTGTGCGCGTGCCGCGCCAAGGACAGCGGCCACCCCCTCGCGTGTTGTGTCCGCCCCAGTTGCTCACCTGCTGCGCGGCGATGCTATTCAGGTGAGTACCCATCAGCTCTCCCGCAAATCATCCGACTTATCGTGAAGGCTACGCGGATTCAAGCAGCAGCCCGCTGATCAGTGCAGTCGCCAGATACCGTGTGGCGAACGGCCAATCGCTTGCCGGTTCGGTGTGCTGCGTACGGTCACCGGCGGGCCAAAATGCTGGGCAGGGGGCCCATGGCGGACTCTTGGGCCAAGTGTCGCACGCCCAGAGAGCAGGCTGGGATTTGGCAGCTGATCTGGGTGAATGGATCAAACACAATTCCATTGATTCCACCGGCGGGGTCGCATAACGTACTGACATGATGCATTGGCACAGATCGTCACCATCACGCCATCCTGCAGTGCCAGGGGACCAAGCGACGCACGATGGCGATGATGCCGGGAGGCCCGGCCCGACTGACATTGTGCACAACCTGTGCTCTCAAGGAGAAAGGAGGCGGCGGGGCTCGTGGCCTCTTGCATCTGTCGGTGCTTTTGCACCGTCGGAGCTATTCAGGAACGGTTCTCATTGGCTGCCGTGCCACCTTACTAAGGCGGCATTTGCCGAATAGCACCGGTGCGATTGGGGAAAATCCTTAATGGTGGATGCCCAGGGGAACAGTAGAGCCACGTGTGCATCCGTAACGGGGGTGCAAATTGCAAGGAAACTCCCACACGCCCTCACATCCACACACACCCACACAGCCTTGGTGTTCATGCAAACATAGATACCCATGCTGCTCGCCGACCCACAATGGTCGCCAAGCGTTGACCAAGTATTGACCTGAGCCGTGAGCCACCCACCCTTGGCGAACAAAGAGAATGGAGCATGGCGACCAATGGATTCTGGCCGAAGATCAGAGCTTGGCAAAGGCCTGGTTGTTTGCATTTGTGGATGCAGTGGAGGGAACATATCAAACCAACGACACGTTTTGGTCCCAACTGACAACAGAATATAAGAGGATTGGAGGCGTTTGCACAGCAAGACGGAGTGTTGCCAGCGTGAAGAGCCAGTGGAATAGGACTTTGAGGAAAGAGGTGTTGAATTTTGTGGGCTTATTGAACAAAATCCGGGCGTTGAACCCCACGTGGGTACGTATGTACGTGTCTGCGCAGCTACTATAGGCCACTCCCCTACTGCCTTGTATATCGCGAGTGATAGGCACCAAGTGTGGTGTAAAGCATAGGGGTAGTGTGTTTCCTTGATTATGAGTATCTGGGAGCTATAATAAACATTAATAAACAGTCTCATCCTTTAGTAGAGGTTATTAAGAACCCGTTCTTGAATCAGGCCTTTGGGTTAGCGGTAGTGGAGATATAACTACTGGAAGTGACGGTACTTAAGGTACCCCTCTGCACCGTATTGGGGGATGAGATACTATCGATACGTTGCATCGTCACGTGATGCGGGGCACGCCAAAGGGTGGCCCCGATGCCCGACAAATTGTAACTCTTGCCGACCACTCGCATCCGCGGCGCGGATTCCGCGCGGCTGCACCTGCGAGCCACACCGGCGTTGCGCACCCACTGTGCGCATTTCCGCCCCGCGCCTGGCTGATCGCAGGCCTGGGCCCACATTGTGCACCCCGAAGGAACGAGGGCCCCGTACTGCCCGCCGTCAATCAGCGGAGGAGGCCCATCCGGGCTGGATTGGGCGCCGTGGCGCGCAATTGCCCGCGCATCGAGCCGAAAACCAAGCCAGTGGTTCCGGAGCCGGTGAACGCGGAAGGCGGAAGCGCGCCACGCGGCACAAGAGAGCCGAGGGGACCCGGCCTGATGGTGGGAGGGCCCCAATTCGCAAGAGATCCAAGGATTTGGGCCGTCCAATAGAGGTGGCCATTCAAAGGTGCCATCCGGTCCGTTAAATCCGGTTCGTTAATTTTTATCAGCTGTCCGTTAAATTTCGTCAAAGAAAAAGGGAAAAAAAATCAAAAAAAACGAAAAAAACCCAAAAAATTCGAAAAAAAGCCCAAAAAATCACAACAACTGCGGCTAGTTGAAAATCTAGTATGCATAGGTTGAAATAAAATACAAACATACTCTCTAATAGCGAATTCCATAAACTATAAGTATGACTAAAACCCAAAAATCCCCAAAAAATCCAAAAATCCGCTAAATTTTGGGTAATTTTTGTCTTTTTTCGTTATTTTCCGTTAATTAACGGAAAATTAACGGAAATTAACCTCTGTCCGCTATTAACGGATCCGGGTGGCCACCTCTACCGTCCAAGTGGACGCCTCGTGGCGCCACCTGAATCGGCGGGGGTTTCTGAACCGGACTGAGCGCCTGGCTTTATGGAGGGGGGCACATTCTGTTGCTTCTCATGCCTAGCCCGATAGCGGGGGTCGTTGGCTTGGGATTCCGCGCGCCGAGCCTGATGGCGGGAGGGCGCATTCTGCGGCGTTGGACCGCCGGATCGGGGCATCGGAGGACACCGCTTGCGAGGGGCATCTGGGCCCGGCAGTGGGGGTTATGATCCGCGGACTCGCGCAGAGAATCGGCAGCGGGGGACGCAGGTCGGCAGGTGCCAGGCTCGTGGAGGGGCGCAGTGAGCGGAGTGAACGAGTTGAGGGGGCACCCGGGGTCATGGGGGTCGACGCTAGAGGTGGCCACTCAAAGATGCCATCCAGTCCGTTAAGTCCGGTTCGTTAATTTTTATCAGCTGTCCGTTAAATTTCGTCAAAGAAAAAGAGAGAAAATTCAGAAAAAACGAAAAAAATCCAAAAAAATCGAAAAAAAACCCAAAAAATCACAACAACTGCGGCTAGTTGAAAATCTAGTATGCATAGGTTGAAATAAAATACAAACATGCTCTCTAATAGCGAATTCCATAAACTATAAGTATGAAAAAAACCCAAAAATCCCCAAAAAATCCAAAAATCCGTTAATTTTTGGTTAATTTCTGCCTTTTTCCGTTATTTTCCGTTAATTAACGGATTAATTAACGGAATTACCCTCTGTCCGCTATTAACGGATCCGGGTGGCCACCTCTACTGAGTGATAAAATTCGGTGACGCCCGGCAACGTGGGGTCCCAGGGATGCCAGGGGCGTGAGGCCTCTCCAAGGTGGGGATGGAATTCAGGGACACTTGGCGACATGCACTATGGGAACTCTCATGATGGAAACCGCCATCTACATGGTGATGTCTCCACCCTAGCTCGGCGACGTCCCCACACCCCGTCCCTGGGAAAATCCGGGGACGTCCCTAGAGATTGGGACTCTAGAGCAAAACCAACACTCTCTTGAGATTATTTCATACTGCAAAATACAGAATTCTAATGCATATGTCTCCCAAACCAAATGCATCATCAGGCCATTTCGTGATGTTATAAATGCAACTCATTCCAATGGTATTAGCTACTTTTGGAATCCAATGAGTTAGTACTTCCTTGGCACTGCGCTTGTGAAAAGCTTGGTGAGGTGAAGATGGAAGCTTAAAGAAACTATACTCTTAACAGTTGCTGCCTAGAGCACGCTCGCCCATATGTACATGCATAATGGACTACAGTGCATAATGGTGCATTTGAAATGCCGGAAAGTTTATATTAACACTCTAGATCACTTGGCAGCTGTTGCTACATCTTCACAGGGCCATTAATTCTCCTTTGGGGACATGGTCATTACAAACTTGGATATATTTCTTCTGAGCTTGCTCAACTTTGGCTCAATCTTTTTTGGAATATGCTATTACCTTGTCGACTTGGCCCCTTGAGCCTTCGTTCCAAAAGTCCTTAACAATTTCAATGAGAGGTGATATGGCAGACTCCACGACGCCAAACTGCAGAATGACGCGATTGAAGTTACGGCATGTATAGGTCATTCTCTCACATGACGCTGAGTCCATTGACACCTGTGACCACACAACAACCGTGGTTATAGTGTAATTGACAGATACTTGTGAGTCCCTGCAAGGCAAATCAAAAGAACACATTATAAACTAACATCATTCTTCCTCTTTTTTAGAGCTATCATCGCTTGAAGATTTGTGCACAACACTTTGATATTACCATTGGTCATATGCACGTACAAAATACGTCAGACACGTTCATGCTATGTTAGCACACATCATTTAAATTTCCTAAGATAAAGAAAAAATTATTCGGAATCTTCCAAATCTCCCAAAGGGTTTGTCAGCCATTGCACTTGCAGCAACAGACTCAGAGCGCAAGAAGCAGGGCACACAATCACTCCCTGTTGGGAAAGACTCAATCCAAATCTCCATTAGTCTCTATCACATTGGTGAAGTCATATTTACATGCGCGTCTGTTGTACTTGCCATGATGTATCTCAAAACCGTTACCCTTTTCATTGAATGGCCATACAACAAAACGGAAGGAGTGCTTGGCTTGGCAAATTGAAGCCACAGGGCCTTCAGCACTGAAACAAAGGAAGAAAGCTAAGAATGTTGCAAGGAAATAACTCAAGCCAAAACGAAGAAACCAAAGCAACGCGCATTGGGCGATTTGAAAAAAAAAACAAAGCAACCAGCAGCGAGCCACTTGGAAAAGATAAAGCCAATAAAAA